GTTGCTTTACTAAATTATAAGAAACTTGCAAGTATTTCTAATAGAAACTATAAAAGGCAACTTATTTTTTATTCTACTGTTTTCAGCTCTTTCATTTGAGTTACAGCATGTCACGCAAGCCAGAAGAAGGCAACCAAGAAAAGAACCATAGTTCCTAAATATCTCAGAGGTTTTTCTACGAACTCTGTTCATGTGACCTGTCACCATCTGAAATTTAATATTGTTTTCATCAAACCCTAAAATTAGACAGGCACTGGAATATTAAATAAATTGCTTTTTTTTGTGTGTCTGAATTGGCCTGTCACATCAGAATAAGGAAGACATATGTCCTCCAGTATAAACTACAGTTAAACATTAAGGCATTATAGTATTTTAAACTTGATGGCATTGAGAATAATCAACATGTCTTTAACTTCAGGCCTAACAAATCCAATATACTGATCAAGAATTGGCTGATGTACACAGACAAACTAACTTATTCTGGGCACAATTTATGATGCTTAACGAAAAAAGGACATTTCATCATAGCATTTGTTCTTCCAAATAAATGTTTGGCATTGTAAGTCTGAACTGACAAGTATTTTGCTTAAAACATTCCAAAGAAATTTAAAAAGTAACAGTCAGGGAAGAGATATATGGTAATAAAAACCATCTCCAAGATGTGTACCATGCACAAAAGGCATATTCTTCTTCAAAGGAATTTTTACGTACATGGTTTTCTTTGTGTGGTTGTCTAGCATTTATCTTATTATCTTGTTGGTTTCCATATACCACTTCCACTTGAGCAGAACTGACAAGTTTGTATGCTTAAACTCTTAAATCACTACAGCAGATGCCTATTTAATTGAAAATAATGGCATACATTAATTTTCTAACCTGTAGGGGTACCCATAACTAACTTCAAACCAGTCAGACTAGCTACATAAATCACAGACATGAACAGTTGTTTATACATGCTGGTGGGGACAATAGCATATGTTGTCAAATTTGATTTAATTAAAAAGTCTGTGCAATCAGAACCAGCATAATGCATGACACTTCTGTTCAGGATATTTTTGTGAAGAAATAAGGATTCTGACTGACCAAGTTTGTAAATTATTTTAGTGAAGAAAATAAACTGCTCCAGATTTTCCTTAGAAATGTTTCCCTCTTGGGAACTTTTTAACTAACTTATTTTCCAAATGGATAATTTGATTTTTCTTAAGATGAAACCTTTTATGTAGAAATTGACCTATTAAAACACAAAGTTTTTCCGAATCAAAACTTTATTTTCAGTCAAATCCACATTTTCCTAATTTTTTTTTCTTTTTAAAGAAAGTTTTTAAAATGTTGATATCGTTTGACTCAGAAATTTCCTCTCTGGCACATCCCTATGTCTGAAAGCAATTTACAGAATATTCTGCCAGAAACTGGGATCAGCTCTCCATATTTGCCAGAATCAACGTCTATGCAGCTTTGCTATTTGCTAAAGAGAGGGGTAGACTTTCTTTAATCATTTCTGGAGTCATAAATGAAACACAATGAGAAATAAATGGACCACAAATTCACCCTTTTTCACAACTCCACCGAAAAGCAGAGGGCAGTAAGCAGGCTGGGAGAGGAAATTTTGTAGGATTTTATTCCAGTGAGACTGAGCCATTCAGAGGATAGTGGGCACTAGAATGCATTACAGATTAAAAATTCCTGTATTTGTTTATGGGAAGACAGCTCCAGAAACTGCTGCTTAAGTTATTCCTGTCAGAAAGCCACAAAGGATACAAAGGAGCAGGGAACCTCTCAACACTGGGCACAAAACAGGCTTACAAATCCTTTTGGTGGACCAAAACATTAACATACAGCTTTGTGCCACTCAACAGTAATGTCAAAAACATCAGCATGCCATGGGCTGCCAAAACATGAACTGATATTGTGCATTCAGCCCTGAGGCTGTAGATTCATTTCATTTCAAACAGCGGGACATCTGTTTCTGGTAAGAGAAATAAGTCACTCCACTGATCTTTGCATCTGAGGGGAAATAAATACGTAGAAGAATAAATAGAACCCAAATGTTACTATCCTTTAGAAGGCATTAGTAAGAGAAATGGACACATTTTAGTCCTGGAGGCAATGAAACAAGTTAAGTATAAATTTTGATTCCAACTCTCACAGATAAAACCCAACTTGTTGGATTGGCTTTAGGAAAGAAAGAATTTAGACATGCCACATTCCTCTGTGAGAGTTTATGCTCTCACAGAATCCTAGAATGGCTGAGGTTGAAAGGGATCTCAGAAGCTCATCTTGCCTGACCCACGCTCAAGAAGGGCCACCAAGCGCAGCTGGCTGCCTAGGATTAGTGTCCAGATGGCTTCTGAATATCTCCAAGCACAACTCACAATCTGCCTGGGCAACCTATGCCAGTGCTCAGCTGCTCTCAAGAGCAAAAAAAAAAAGTTTCCTTGATGATCAGACAGAGCCTCTTGTGTTGCAGCTGGTGCCCATTGCCTCTGGTCCTGTCACTGGGCACCACTGAAAAGAGCCTGGCTCTGTTCTCTTTATACCCTCCCTCCAGATACTGACACACACTGGAGAGATCCTCTCTGAGCCTTCTCTTTTCTAGGCTCATCATCCCAGCTCTCAGCCTTTCCTCATAGGAGAGATGCTTCAGTTCCTTCATCACCTTTCTGGCCCTTTCCTGGACTTTCTTCAGTATGCCCACATATCTCTTGTACTGGGGAGCCCAGCGCTGGACACAGCATTCCAGGTGCAATCTGTGACAATGACATTCCTGCCCATCCCATGATACTATTACAGCAATGCCCTCTGGTCTGTGAAAATCACTTATTTTAACTGCATGTTAAAGGATATATTTTTATGTATGTATTCAATTTCCACTTTGCTTGGAAAGAGCTTTTATTAGAGATACAAGGATGAAAAGAAAATGGATTATCTTTCATCTGCCACACCAAGAATAAATGATTTTAAAACCATCTTTTTATAAAGAAATTGGTGCATGGCAATGTTCCAACAAAGGTAATTTCCCTAATACTTAACAACATAATCTGTATAATTATAAGATTAAAAATATAAACCAGTTCAGTTTGATAAATAAAACAATGTGGATCCATTATATTTTCAAGCCTCCTGCTTCCAGAAAACAGCTGTAAATGAAGCAATTGTTCAACTCAAGACTACTGATGCAACTACTTTGGGACCTCAGGAAGAACTTTTTGGGGTCTTCTGCTCTATGTGGGAAATGAAGTACCATGAAATTTACAGGAAAACTAAAAACAACATTCTCTTGTGCAACAGAAAAAAGATTTAAACAAACCTTTTTCTCTTGGATCTGCTACAAATTCCGTTTGCCTATATTAAGGGTTAATCAAGAACTGAACCCAAAGACGGATTTTGATAGCTAAAACCTTTTCCAGCTGTTTAATCATAAAATGCTAAAATATAAATTACAGATCACAGTTTAAAGAATTATTTTGAAAATTTATGCCCTGATTTATCATGATAACCAAAACACTAAAAATTATCATAAGGACAACACATCTGATATAATGCATAAATCTTTATCCAAAATTCTTCATGGAAGCATTAATATAATACCCCAAATTTGGGATATTATTTACCTGAAAAACATGTTAATAATAAATGGATTTTAATTGAGTATGAATATATAATGGCAAATTCTCCTGTCTCCTATTAGAGGACTATGGAGGAATTATTCTTCAACTCTACTGGTGCAAAACCCCCAAGTTCTGGCCTGGATAAAAGTTGCAAATGAAAGCTGTATTTAGATCTTGTAAAGCCACATAAAAAGTGAAGTTCAATACTGCTGTATTTATTTTTCTTCAACTCATGAGCACAAGCAGAAAGAAATTAAATTGTTGTTTTATCTTTAAATTAAATTCAACATGTTTTAAATGGTCACAAACCAAAATTATAGCTTCTTGTTGACTAACCACAAAACACAGCTTTTCTTTAGACAACAGTAAAACATTTGGAACAAGAATTAAACACTCTCATTCAGTGAACAAAAACTGAACAAAGTTGCACAAAGTTGTGCATTTCATTAGAACGTTTTGAATATCAAACTGAAAACATGATGTGACTATTAATAAAGATTCTGCTGTTTAGAGTAAAAACCACTGAGAATTGCAGATGAAATTTCTGTGCAGTGTTAGTTCTGAATACCTGAAGAATGCTGTAACAGAAATTTGGCTATTACAATTCCTACATATTGAAATCAATAGGCAGTTATATGAGCCTACATTTCTGAAAAAAAAGAATGGAGAAAACCACTGTGCCTTCAACTTACAAAAAAAATACAACTTATTACATCTACTATGTAACTGTTTCCTAGCCAGCAGAGACATCAAGGGAAATGTGTATAGAGAATAAACAAGAATCCTCATGTGCCATGGCATACCTAGTTTATCAAAGTAGTACTCCTAAAATATCTTGGATGGGATGAGAATTTCTTTGGAACATACCCATGAAAAGAGCTGATTTTCTTGGATGAAAACAATCTGTTTAAATACTAGCTTCTTGTGACCAAATAGAAGGTCAGAGCTGCACAAGAAATAGAACTGTGACTGCAGACTACAGATGCTACAGACACTGGGAAACCTCTGATGTATTAAGGAATTTCAGGGACAACAGATGGACATGTTTGGATCTGCTGAGCATTCAAGCTTCCCACTGAACTGTTTATTAAGTTCAGGACTACAGTAAAAGTCTAAAAAAGCAAAAAATCTTACAGGACTTCTCTCGTCTTTCTCAGAGGCAACAGGCACTTGCACAGTTTCATTTCAGGCAGGATAATGGGATGGAAGCCATAATGGAGACGTCACTCAATACAAAATGTTGAAATAGCTCATTTCTCCTTTGGCCATTAATGCGTGCTTAGGGAAACATTTCCAAGTGCACGTGCTCAATGTATGTAAGAAATGAGTGTCTTTAATGAGTAGGTTAAGACAGTGTGACATTAAAACAGTTCAAAAGTTAAAAGAACCCACCGACTCTTTTCTGCTCATAGTTTTGCTTTGGGAACGTGAGCGAGAGATGGTGCTGAAAAAGGAATCCTTTTTTGATGCAGACAAAGGTGGAGATCCTGTAAATTCACGTCCTCCAGACAAGCTCTCTATGCTTGGAGATGAACTGACGTTTTTTGAAGTTTGGCCTGTAAAGCAAGTTTAAAAAAACAAAACAGTTAATCAATGGGCATTTCCTTTTTCCCACAAATACTTCCTTGTCTCAACTGACATCGACGGAGAGTCACAGACAGCCCAACAAAGAATGAAATGTTGAAGTGTGTCAGCATGCACTGAGAGATTGAAGGACTGTTCTCACATGGAACTTAACTTCTGTATGAGAGAAGAACAAAAAAATCTTTGTGTATATATAGATATATACACAAACACACACAATCTAGTACACACCTACGTCTATATATATGCTAGATGATGTGTGTGTATACACACACACTTACATATATATATATACACGCAACACCCACAAACTGAGGAACTTCATGCCCTGTGTGGCAAAATGAGCAAAGTACCATCTCATAATAATAATAAAAAAATCTGATGTCATCAACACTACAATGGAAATTGCTTTTTCCAACTATAAAACTTGGCAAAGAATGCTAACAACAAGAATTTCAGATTCCAAAAGTGGGTTGGACACTGAAGATCTAGATCAGAATATTTAGACTTTAAGCAGGAAAAAAAAGTAACTTGAGTTTGGACAAGCACATAATCTCTCATGCTTCAAATTTTAAGGCCATTTCCACCTAACAGACACTTTGGTAAGTCTACTGAATAGTTACCTTTTGTCATTTTATGAAGCTTTTGAAATGAATTCAGCATTGTCCACTATCATAGTGAAGACAGCTAGGGAGAATCCTGGGCTGGTTCACCATGGCAGTGTATGCATCAGGCAGCCTCTGATAAGACTAGTTTTCTTCTAGTTGAGGCTTACAAAGTGTTTTCAAATGTTTAAATCAAAACTTTGTTTTCATTAGTTCCAGGAGGAAAAAAAATCCAGTATGTCAGTTTTTATCAACTTTCACTACAAAAATGTTGCCTTAGGACGGACGCTAGTTTAAAAAATCTTTTTATCATGTGTATGATGAAGTCAAGCTAGAATGACTCCATGAAATAGTAGAGTTTTCCATTCTGGAAAAACATTAAATAGCACATAAAGCTAATGCTCAAGAATTTCCCCTGTCTCTTATTTGATGGCTATTCTGATTAAAGGGTTTATGTTCTCCTTTTTCCTTTTCTTTGTGCTTTCGTGTTACCATCTATAGCATTAAGTATGATCCTCTACAATTAAATCATTCACATTTTCTTAAGGCAATAAATACAGATTTATTTATCTGTAAATAAAGAGAGGAGACTGTTAAATGCAAAAAGACTGAACTAGCAAAGAACAAAACATTGCATGTGAATAAACAGACCTTAAATGACAAAACCCAAGAAAGGATCTGGGTTTAATATGCTGAACATTTTCTAGAAGAAAACTCATAAAAATTGCTTCCCATCTTGTCCTTCATTCTCTGTTGCTTTATTCTGCTCACCTCCCCCATAACCCTCCTACATTTTATGCCCTGCTTCCGTGGACCTTCCTGTCTGCCTCCATCTCTTCTTCAGATCCTTCCACACTGCCTCTTCTGCAACTTCTAACTTTTTTCTTTACATATTCTTTACTTTCCACCAACTTCATTCAACTGGATTTTTCTGTTTCTTCACAGTCCTCCTCCAGACACTTACTACCTACCACCTAGTCTGAGGAGCTTCCTTAAAAGTGCATGAGACTGAGGCTCTTGTAGATCTCGCTTAACTTTTGCCTTCCCATTTTATAGAAAAATGGGATATGCATTAATCTTGTACACTGTAAGTAATTCTGGAGATTAAAAAGGCGAAAACACTGCATGTAAAACACCAGAAATAATTTGGTTGCAAGGAAATTTTTAGAAAATTTCTACTTTTAGGATAAAATCGTGTCACTTGGCAACATTGTCATCCTTACAGTTGCCTTTATGTAAGAAAAACGACTTTTTATGCATTTCATAGTGGCAAATGGAAGTGTGCTTTTGAAGTAGGTAAACTTAAAAATAGTTTTGGAACAGATGGAATCACATATTTTACCAAATAAAGCTTTTATAAAAGCAGTTCACACAGCTAAGCAAGACCAGCCAATATAAATGCTAAACGTAAAAAAAAAAAAAAAAGGAAAATGGATTTGGTGGACAGAGTAAAGTGCAACAGAAAAATATTTATTAGGTATATATCAGATTAAATAGTCTCTCTTTACCATCCTAGTAATAAGAAGATATGTTCTCTATAGGGTGAAGATTAAAAAAACAAACAAAAAAAGTTAAACAATGAGCAATTTGTATATTTCACATAGTCTTCATTGTATGACCTGGACTTAACACAATTCACCTGCAAATAAGCAGATAAAAATTCACAGATAATATTGAGAGAAGAACACTTTAAATATATTCTATGTTCCCTATAGGGTGAAGATTAAAAAAACAAACAAAAAAAGTTAAACAATGAGCAATTTGTATATTTCACATAGTCTTCATTGTATGACCTGGACTTAACACAATTCACCTGCAAATAAGCAGATAAAAATTCACAGATAATATTGAGAATATATCTGAGGAACCCACACACATGAAATAATACAGCTTGGTAAAACAATGGAAAAAATGACGTGGAAATATTTTTTTCCATATTCTCTTTCAGCTCTAAGGAAAAAAATGTCAAAAATATAGTAAGAAATTGAAAAGACAGAGAAGTCTCCTCATGGCCACTGCAAACAGCTACACTTCAAAAGATGGCTCACAGTTCAGAGGAACAGAATATGCAACCACTAGCATAACCAAGCAAGATTTTGTGGACAGAATAATACAAGTGTCCTAAAAGGGAATTTGCTCAAGTAACACCAAGAGCTTTGAACAATCTGGTTCTGATGGCCTATAAATAATACAGTGAAAATAAAAAACAAGAGTAATACAAGGTTTAGTTAAACTAAGATAGAGATACAGTAAACCAGAAGTGACAAAAATATTGTATCTGTATGTTTGATACCCAAGTAAGAAGAAAGGTTAGGATGCACCTGATCCTTCTGCATGAATAAGCAAATCTGGGGAAATTATCATTAGGAAACACTATTTTTTTATTCTGCATCCAACCCTATGAACAGTGCCATGATATGGATTATTTGGGGATATAACTGAGAATTAAGAGAGAAAGAACAGCACACTTATGAATAATTACAATGTGCTGCAACTCATAAAGCAGGATCCTTGGATTGTGATAGGCTTTTCTAATTTCCAGAGGAGTCATTGTTTTTACAACTGTAAATAAGAGAGCTGAAAGACAGGTCACAACAATCGTATGTGTTTTCCTTAATGTCACAAAAAAAGAAAAAAGAAAAAATACATTTATGATTTTTCCCAACACAGAAATATAAGAAGTATAATGAATCACAGAATATTCTGACTTGGAGGGGACCCACAAAGATCATTGAGTCCAACTCTTAACTCTGATGCTGCAACAACACTTAACCAAGTGACCACCATCTGAAGTCCTTCAGATGTACCATGTGTGCACTGAGGCATTAACAACCCTCATATAACTTTGGAAACAACACTGTAGACTAACACACAGATTTCGGGATCTTGGGACAATGACACAAATGTCATTTGTACCGTCACTGTTCTGTGTCTTACTGATTTTACATCTTTCTTAATGTGCAGCGTGGTACATTCTGCTCTGTCGATAGCTTGACAAGAAGGTAATGGGACAGAGTTTTAATTTTGTATTATTCCTCAAAAAAAAAAAAAGGAAAAAGAAAAAAGAAGTCTTGCACTTCATGTAGAATCAAAATGCATAAAGATTGCAATAAAGTGCAGTTAATAACTAAACTTGTGTCCTTCTTTAGCAGCTTAATCAGCAACCTGAGAACACTACTGAATCAAAACTCTGATTTTTGCCTGCTCATTTTGTCAGTATCAGATAAATCCATTATGGCTCCTTAAAAAACATTGGAGAAATCTAATCTCTGACCATCTAAGCATATACCAGAAGGTCCTATATAAAACAGGCTGAAGAAACCCCATAAAAATGGAAATAAAAAATACATGCTTATGAAGCACACAGAACAAATATGTAAGGATCCCTGACGTATGCAGTAGTCAAAATACATTACTGTGTAGGATGTCTCAAAAAAAACCCCAAACCATATATATATATACACACACATACACACACACATATATAATATACATATATATATTTATATAGAATACATACATATATATATGCATTCTGAAATGCATAAATAGTTCACAGTAATGATGCACAGGATTTCACACACTAAAAATATTTCTGAAATATTTCTGAGGCAAAAAGGATCAATGTTATCTCCATGGGCTGGCTTCTAAGTGGCTCACTGCTTGCCTGTTGCTAATGATACTGGGACTGAACCCAGGGTGAGAAATGCTCTGCCTCAAAACTATTTGGAAAACACAGATGGGGCAATGGAAAATGGGACCAACCTGTTGGTATTGTGGAGACCTCTGATTCTTGCGAAGAATGATAATTTAAATTTAATGTGATTTATAATTTGGCTGTATAATAAAGTAAAAGGTGATGGCAAGGAGGAGAAGACTTACAATGAAAGGAAAGTGAGCTTCAGGTCTTACTAAATTTGAGTTAAGTTATGGGGGATATAACCAAGAACACTGGTGATCCCCGATAAAACACATGAAAAATCAGAGGAACATGCAAAAAAGACATACAAAACTCATGGCTCATTCTGTTTGATCCCTACAGAGGAAAAGAATAGTTATAAGAAGAGCAAGGAAAAAGATACCAAGAAGAACAGAAGTATGGCACCATATATAATTCAAAACCATTCAGATCTGCTCATCTGTTCTGTATTTGCCATAGTGAGGATGTAGGGTATTAAAATTTGCAAAAGGAATGAGATGAGTTTTATAAAACTTTTCAGATAAATTAGTTTCCCTTTTTCTCCTACAGTGCAATTGGAACAAAGGCTTCCAGCACTTTCAAAATTCATTCAAACCACCTCATCACACAAATCCATATACTTTTTATTTCAGCCAAGGCAGGTTGGCTCCCTGTTAGTCGAGGGCACGACAGTAGATGTTCGGCCCAAAATACCTGCCCCAAATATAAAAAGAGGGAACTAATGCAGCTAAAAGGGACAATGATGGTGGAACTGGCCCCGTGAAAGAGTGGGAAATGAACTACAAAGGGCAAGAGCACAGAGGTTTGCAGCACAGACATGCTGACGCATGGCTGATGCCCGTGAAGAGACACAGACACGCAGACACAAGCAGTCACATACACAAACACACATACACACATGCAGATGCAGGCAGAAACACACAGACACACACAGACAGGCACACACAGACACATACACACACAGATGGACACAAACACATGCACACACACAGAGACACACACACACACTCACACACACGTGCACACACAGACACATTTGCACATGTACACACACAGACACACATACAGACACGCACACAGACACACACAGAGACACACTCACACACAGACGCACACACGCACAAGACACACACACACACGCACAAGACACACACACGTACACAGAGACACACGCACAGACACACGCACAGACACACACACGGAGACACAGAGAGCGGTGAGGGCGCGCAGGCACGCGGAGAGCCGAGCTCTCTCCCGGCACAACAGCGGCGCTCGGTGGAGGGACAGTGGCGGTGCGGGCGGGCGCCGCCCGGGCCTACCTGCGGGGGCCGGGCTGTGCTGCTGGGCCTGGGCCGGCCCCGGCGGCGCCGCCTCGCCCGCCTCGCCTGGCAAACAAACAACAGCGTTAGCGAGGCCCCGCCGCTGCTGCCCGCCCGGGGGGAGCCGCAGCTTCGGGGGGTTCAGCCGGAGCACCCTGCTTTGAACAGAAAGGACATTGTGAGAGAGCGCTGTAGGGACAGGCAAAAGGAAACGGGAAGGCTGGATAACAGGTTGCAGAACCCCGGCGCTTTTAAGTGATGGTTTAGATCAAAATCTAAACTTAACTGAAGAGTCAAAACCTTTTTTCACTGGCACTTTACAGTGTCATTCTGCTATTTGAGAGCTTCACAGAATGGCTGAGGTTGGAAGACCACTGGCCCAAGCCCCTTGCTCAAGCAGGGTCCCCTAGGGCACATTACTCTGGATTGTGTCCTGATGGCTTTTGAGGATCTCCAGCAAAGGGGACTCCCCATCTCCTCTGGGCAGTCTGCTCCAAGGCACGGTCACTTGCACAGTAAGGAAGTTCTCCCTCATATTCAGCTGAAATTTCCCGTGCATCAGTTTCTGCCCGTTGCCTTTTGTTCTACTGCTTGGCACCACCAAGAAGAGGCTGGCTGCACCCTCTTCACAGCTCCCTTCAGATACAAGATCCCTTGTCTGTCTTCTCGAGGCTGAGACTTCCAGCTCCCTCATCCTCACTTTTCTCGTGAGGTGCTCCAGTGCCCTAATTTTCTTTGCAGCCCTCCACAGGACTCACTCCATGTCTGTCTTATACTGTGGAGCTCAGAAGTTGTATCCTTGCTGTCAAAAAAATTCATAATTGCCTAATAATATGTATATTTATATTTTTTAAAAAAGGAAAAAAACCCCACAATTTGTCAATCTGTGTTTTACTCCTTTAATTTGTACTCAGTTCTGCTATTAATAAGGACAGTTTCCTTATCCATATGAAAAGCAAACTCATTTTCTAGAGATAAAGAAATATTTCTAAATAATTATTTAACTTTATAAATAATTCTAAATTAGGGTATCATTTGTTAAGGACATACATGTTGACTATAGAAATCCTGTTTGTGTTACAACAAATGCCATAGTAGTATCAACTCATAAAAACAAAGAGTAGCCTGGAAACTCTTTAAATGAAGTTTTGGCAGAACTTTGTCTTTTAACTGGTCCTCTAATGTGTCCTTGTGATAAAGCCGCATTTAAATCAAAAGCATTTTGGGTTTCACCATGAAATGACCTAGAAGGAAAACTGTATCTGGCACTATCAGGGAAGAAGAGAAAGAGAAATGCTTTTTTTTCTTGGCAATACACTGCCATTTGGTAATCAAAGGACATGCAGTTTCTGAATGATGAAGGATCCACTAGAACACACAGGGCAATGATTGCGATTTTTCCCCATTTTTTTTCATTATCCTTTTTTTTTTAATCTTTCAAAATAACCACCTCAACTGAAAATCCAATAAACTCAATATCTGAATTCAGCTTTTGTGCCAATGAATTACTTCGCTGTGCAGGATCAAGAGAATGTTTTAATCCCTCTTCTGTTAGCAGGCTACCTTGCATAAGTAATCAGTAATGATACCCGATCTTCTTCTGTGCTGAGGACAGGCTGAATGGGACTAATATATTATTAGGAGGAACTGAATTTCCAATTAGATGTCTGGATACTTCGTTCAGCTGTGATTTGTAATGCTGAAGACTCATCTGGAATTACAGGCTGGCAATTATGGTTAGATTTTTTTTTCCAGTCTGCTGTTTTTCCATTTACATTATATAAATTATATTTTTTTTTTCCTACAGAAATTCAGCAAGTACCAAAACTTTGGAGTGAGAAATAATTACAATGGATTATGTAACCCAATCATCCCTCATCTAGCATGAATGGTAGCTGGTAACTCTGAGTGAGTGGTAACTCTGTTGAAACAGAGCTGTTAAAGCTGGGATAGGATTATTTTGACAGTCCTGCAAGGTATTCTGTTACCAAGGGCTTCTTCACAAAGTAGATCAGCCAGTTAATTTAATCTCTTCAAATTTATAAATCTCTACATATTAATTTAAATTGTCAGCACTACTTGAGCATTCAAAACCTGAAAAGACCAGTGAGAGAAAAATGGATGACTTATGTTATGGCTTGATGCCTGCTAGATTTACAGCACTTTGGCCTGTATAACAGGCCAAAGTTCACAGACTGAACATCTGTGAGTATTACATCAGCTGAAATTGCAAATGTCTTTCAATTTAAATCCTAAATCCATGTCTCTGCCTACCTCAGCTAAATAACCAGGCTCCAGGAGGCTGAGGAGAGCTGAACACACAGGGAAGAACAAGAACAGGAGACAGTTAGTGACAGCTAGTTAGTAATTTGGGAGCCTTGTATTTCCAAACTATGCCAAATAATTTTTAGAGAATCAAAACCTACAGCAGAATCCAGATCTAAAAAAAAGCCAGTGTAGAAGCTAAAAAGTTCAGCACCAAAATGAGTGGAACGAGAGCTTCTGAGAGTACGAATATATTTTAAATCCTGAATCTCAGTGCCTGGGATAGAAGTACTGGCAGCTTCTCATAGCTGTGGAGAGTGCCCTCAATCACTGGATTTGCTGTACACTCTTTTTTGAGGTGGTGTTACTGTCCTCCACAGAACAGAAAAGACTTACTCTTGCTTTTAAGGTGTGATGGAGCTTGTGCTGTTTACAAAGGTCTGCAGCAAGCTTCAAAAGACTTTTTAGCGTGTCTTCACCATGGTGGAGCAAATAGGGACTTTTTTGCTGAACATTTAAACTTACTCCAGAGAGAATTCGCTGGGGAACCTCTAAAATACTTTCTATTTCCTTTTGTTATTTTTTGTGTCTCTTTAAAAATACAAAGTATGGCACTTGCAAACAGAGCTGCCATAATTTGAAATTTCTGTACAATTACAGGCAAAATACTTAATAACTGTACAGGTCTGGAGCAGCAAGCAAGAGGAAGCTGCAGTATGTTTTTTCCACTTACCATGAAAATGCTTTGTGCCCTAAATCATACATTCTTCATAACTTTACCAAATCTCCATATTCCTGTTGATAAAGCAATATGTGCACATCTTGCACATGACAATGACCAAACATAACTACGATTTTTTATTCTGATTCCTGCTTGGAAAGTATCAGGTGCATTTCCTGATGATATATGTTAATTGGCCCATACGACAGGCCATCCTTTACCAGCCACATCAAGGTTAATCCACAATCAATTCCATCTACAGGAATTGCTTCAAATTCTGTGCTTTTATTATATTAAGCAGGGGAAGAAAAGAGCCACCCAAGGACCACTTCGGAACTCAAGAGGGGAAAAGAGAACAATGTGATAAGAGAACTATGTAAAACTCTTAAAAAAGCAAAGAAAAACTCTCTCTGAAACAGTGTAAATAATTTTGTTCTACACCTAATTGTACTTACGTTGTTGTGAACAGGATTTGTAGCAGTTTTGCTGCACTTTAGTTTTACCTCTGTACTGTAAAACCCTTGCTGGAGCAAGTTTTGAGATTCTTCTATAACTGGGAGAAGCTGCATATCTGGATTTTGCCAAGCAGCTGCAGTGGCCCTTACAGAAGTGCCTCTATGTGCCTGCTCCAAAAGAACAGCTGTACCTTTCAGTTTGGCTCCCTCAGTGTCTGCTGGGGATGCCATGTATCATGAAAGGGCCTTTGGACCATATGGGTGGCACAGCAAAGAGAGAGAACACCAACTTCAGCTATGAAGTGTTACATCCCTTCTTTTACACTTTCAAATCTGGTGAAAAAAAAAGCAATCCTATGCAAAGGTTCAGGGTCACCAGCCCTCAAGCTCATAACCATGACACTGGATGAGTTGTTAAAAGCAGCAGATACTGTATTGCTCTACATACTCCTTGAAAAGCACATACTGCCATGGGCTGGCTGAAGATGAAAAGCAGTAACCTACCTTGAGTGTGGCAGAGTATAGCAAACAACTACCAAAGCTGAGCTTGTGAGTTTGTTGTCTGAATAAGCTGTCCTCAAGAAATATAAAAAAGGCTTAAAGAAAAAGACTCAGTGTTTACTAAATAAAGTGCCGAGGGTCATCACAAATTATTAAAAGAAAAATTCATATTATGGTTCAAATAACTTCTTAAATAAGCTCCACTCATTCTAAAGGGAATAAAAATTTATTAAGAATTACTCGCTAACTTCTTTCACTTATTATTATGTATTTAGCTAATACTGTTATGTATGCGATTTTTTGCCAGCAACCTGAAAAACATGTATGAAATTAGTTTTCCAGTTCAAAAAGGTTGTATCTAAAAATCTGAAAAATTAATTGATTCATGTTTCATATGGTAATGATTAGTTTGTTGACCTGTCTGATGCAGTTTCTGGTTCGTATATTTTTAGAAGTTCAAAACTTACAATATTTGTACATTCTTGAGACAACATCTAATTCTGTATTGCACTGCAGCTACGCTGTTGTACTTGGCATAGGCATCCTGCCTAACAAAATACTTTTTTTGCTGTTTCCTCCAAATATATACACACTGATATAAAAATCAACAGAAGAAAGAACTTTAGCTCTGAAGATGTACCACAAAACGTCCCTCAGTCATGGTGCTGCCACAGGTTTCCCCTTTACCTTTGCCCAGTTGAACTGGCATGCTTTCAGACTTCATCATCCTCTGCTGCTGTGACTGGTGGTGGTGCTGCTGCTGGTGGTGCTGCTGGTGCTGAGAGGCTTCCACTGAGCTCCTGCTTGGCATTGAAGAGGGAGGGAAGCTGCTCCCGCCAGCAGGAGTGCCCACTGCCCCGCCCGAAGCCATGGCCGGAGCAATGAGCTTTCGGCCAAAATTCAGTAAGCTGTTGGAGACTTTGTTAATGTTCAGAGGAGCAGCTTTAGCACTGGCACTGAGGAAAGAAGAGGAGAAATCATTGCATCATTGCCAATGGTTTGGACAGGCACAGCCATACATGCCTCGGTCTTCAAAACTCAGAGATAAAAATCCAAGATTTGAACATTACAAAGAAGGTGTTTTACTACAGTTGCACTGGAATTCAAATAGAGACCATAGCGACTGGGTATGGTATAAATTTTTCCCAACCAGAAGTGGACAATTTTTTTTGGTCCTTCTCCCTGAAAAATGCAGACTAACCCCAAGCAAAGTGAGTTTGTACCAATTTTCTGAATTTTCTTAATTTACCTTCCTAAATTAAAAAAAAAAAGGAAAGAGTGATAAATAGGAATCCAGGCTCTACAGAATCAAAAACTTTATAAAATTGAATTTTTGCACTTATTCAAGGGGCACTTTAATATTTATTTCTGTTAGATTAAATTCTCTCAAATGTTTAAAATGAGTCAACCCCAAACATTTCTTTCAGCAAGCAAAGCTAACACTAGACTGTCCTTTTAGGTTGGCAGAGCTAGATGTCTCTTGCTCTGAGTTCACCTTCTGCCCAGCCCATCATTTTAAGCCAAGCACTTTTTAACAGGAATCCTGATTTTGAAAGTGATTTTGCTGAAGATCTGCTTCAGGGTATAACACATATACTGAATCACAATCCTTATAATTGTTACTTTTTATTTTTAACTACAGTGGCTATTTAATTCACTTCAGTTATTTGCAACATTAAGAACAAGGAAATTGTCAAACCATTTAATTTGTCTAAAATAAAGAGGCAAAGAACCTTTTAATTCCCAGTGGAAGTGTTCACATAACCCACAGATTAGCAAAGCCATTCCTATTTGTTCATGCAATAATTCCCTGCCTTATATAATTAATGCTTGAAATACCCTTCACAGAAATATATCACAACCACAAAGACCTTTTCACTCCTGAGGTTTCATTTTACTGATCTGTACTTCCACGATATAAATAGCTGTCCTTTAAAAACATGAAGAAATGTAATTAAAACCAACACAATCATTGTACTGGGGAAAAATAGCTTTACAATGTTTCAGGGAAGTTGAACTAAAAATAAACTACAAATGAATTAATATGGGTAATTTGTAACTTCTGCAGACACCTGGAAGAGTAATTTTGATTTTGCTCTTCCTCTAATTTCTCTATTTGTCTCCAGAGATGGGTTTTTTTTAGAATACACAATACAAACATGCACACATATAGAGCACATCAAGAAAATAACAACAGCTGAGTTGTTTAGAATCAGAATAGATACTCAGAATAGACAGAAAAGGAGAGCTATCAGAAGGAGGTATGAGAGCCTGCACACTCACAAGATACAGCTCCAAGCTCTATAGGGCGTTCCTGCCGTATATACTGGTGGTGAAGAAAGATGGCATCTAGAATTTTTTAGGAGGAACAGCAGTGCAGAGACTGGGACAAGTGTTGCTTCCCAATTTATGAAAGCTGGGAAAGAATGATTGCTAATAATTACAGGATGTTTCTGTGCCTCCCAATCTCATTGATTGCTGCTGGTGTTACAAAAAGTCCTTCCACAGTCATCTGAGAGTGAATGACAGAGTCACTATGAGGAAAGCATCTGCAGAACTGTATAAAATACAGTTGCAGGAGGTCCAAATGGTTTCAAAAGCAAACTGAGTAGTTGTGAGAGAGAAGTGTTAATGGTTAGTGACTCAAACAATTGCCTATGTGCAAAAGCTTCAGGTGCTTTGCTGAGGCCAGGTCTGCACCCCCCAACTGAAGGGGAGGACTTTTTGGATGTTTGGTGGCTCCTGGGTGAGAAGCAGAAGCCTGCCGACCCCGACCTGGAAAGAAATCCAGAGACAGCTGTGCACTTGCTGCACGTGTTGCCTGCACCAAGTGATTTAAGGATTACTGATGTATCACAGTGCTGGATCGTTGCTGCAGCACAAAATGGAATTTCTGAAGTTGTAGCTGATTTGGTTCCACTAACAGCTGCAACACCCACCACTGCAAACTCAATAGCCACAATATAAGCACCTCTGTGACTGAGCATTGACGGGTTGGTTTCAAAGTCCCCTTCTAATTGTCCTGCCTTGGTAGTGAAGGAGCCAACAGAGTCGTGGCTGGCAGTTTACTTCAGGCAATTGAATGCCAATACTGTGCCTTTAACCACTGCTAAGCTGTCACGGGCTTGGAAGGGAGGGCAATACACCTTAAACAGCCTTCTGCAAGGGTATGAAATACATTCACCTACCATTGCTCAGGCTGTGCAATGAACAGTCTCACTCCCTCTGGAAATGAGATTAATTGGAGGAGACCTCCCTGAAAAGGTGGGAGAAGCATTAACAGCAGTGTGAAAAGCACTTCATGAGACTGAAGCTGAGATTCCACCTGAGAAATATCTTAAGTCCAAGCTGTTAAACAACTTTAGCCACTAAGGGGTAACCTATCCAGACCAACCTCTCGAGACTTGTATTGGCTTCTTTTGCCAGGAATGATGCCAGCACACTCCCACTGAAGATCAAAGGACATTAGTCACGCCTCTAAGGAGTCCAACACTTTGGTCCCTTTAGACCCTCAAGAACCTGGATTTACCAGATTAACCAGTTCTGAGTGAGGGATGGCCACTGGATGGACTGTATTTTTATGTGAAGGCTCACAGAAAACAGCCAGGGAGATTTGATAATCAGTTTTCCCTTGGGTCCTTTAAAATATTTGGTTATTTTTGTGGTAGACACAGGAGCACAAATGTCAGCATTTCAAACTGAAGTTGCTGCTCTAGCGAATTATGCCAGGCAAGAAAAGCAGTTGGGTACATGAATCAACACTCAGTGGATTGCTTCTTTTTAGTAACCTGCCTGTAGTAGGCTGAGTTTTCTATTTTCTTTTATAGGAACCTGATAACAGATGAGGTCAAGCTGAATGGGAGGTTAGTTATCAACAGTTGCAATAAATCTCATTACATTGCCAGTTTTGGGGGTCATACCAGTAATATGGCTGAGATTCAGAACCCAAACTTTAGTATATTTTTTCCCTCCATTTACTAAAAACAATCACCGAAGTTGGAGTTTGGGGTAGTACATATGACTCACTCACCTGAAACATTAACTTAGAAGGAAGATAATGACTTGTACATTGAGTCCTAGGTTTACATTGTCTCTAAATCTAGAACCTTAACAATCACTAAAAAAAAATCCTTGACTTTGCACAAAAAATTATATTTACTGAAAGTAAATTATTTACACTGACAGGCCACCTGAGCAACAAATCCACTGGACATTTTGAGCTTAATCTATCATCATTATTGTGATAGTACACAGATGCAGCAAACAAAGCTTATACAGGGCTTGTGTATTTTATCCACCAGCTTGTTTCTTTCTTGTTTATTTATTTTTCAGCTATATTTTGCTTAATTAAAAGGTGTCAGTTTTTCTTCTACAGTTTGATTTGCTGCTTTGACATATATACACACTAGGACAAATTAGTTTATTTGCATTTTTCAGATGGTTGGAAAGAGACTTTTTGAGAAAAACTTCATTTTATACCATTTTACAGGAACGATGAACATGAACAACTGCCAAGCCTGTATGTCCAAAACATTATTTTTAGAAATGCTTCCAACAGTAAAATGCAAGGATGTTTTAGTACTACATGACAACTAGAAAGGACAGTTATCACACCTCCTAATAACCTGTGGTGTGATTTGGCTGTGCTATGAACTGACACTGCTAATGATCAGCTCAGAACATGTATAAATTAATGAAAAATAAATAATGATACTATCTAAATATCTTTTCAAGAGGCGGTTTTAAAAAATGTATTGTGAAGTAAAATGTGTGCAATTTCTCTGAATGACAGCTTCAGAAAATGAACAATAGTGAGGTGCTACATCTCTGGAGGTCTTACATTAAAAGTGAGCTGAAGTTCAGTAAAATAAGAACAATGTTTCTATTTCTTACCATTTAAATGTCTGATATATTAATGCAAAGGATGATTACAGCCATCAAACATGGATCAATCTACATTTTAGCCATCCAAATGTACCACACATGCACAACAATTACAAGAAAAATACTGATTGATTTACGTTGTAGTTACAGGCAGATGCATTTAAAAGTAAGGCATCACTTTAAAAATATGAGTATCAAGGAGACATGAATTCCATCCACGAAGCAAACAATTTTGTTTCATCACAATAAGCATCATTGACCTTGACTGTGAATGGTGTATTTTTAAACTAGCACTAGGAAGATGATTCAATCTCTGCAGTTTTCTGCTAAGATGGAAATGTTTTGTTTTAAGCAGGCCTTATTCAAAGGCATTTCTCTTTTCAGTAAGTAATCATTACAAGAGATGAGAGACAAATAGATGAATATGACCGATTACAAAGTTTTATATGTGATAAAATAAGCAATATGTAGTAGATTTGTCAAGATATTTTAAACATGTCACTAAGCCTGTGGAATTAAAGATGAAATAGACCTGGTAGTTGACTTAATCCATCTCTGCTCACTGCAAAAACATTTCCTAATGTTACATCTTCCAGTTCTCTCCCTAGTCCAATCTTAAACAGCTTTAGCACATTTGACCAACTCTAAGTGTTCCTGTCTTGAGATTAATTTATCCCAGATTTTCTTCTATCTGAATTATTCTAAACAACTTCCCATCTCTTTTGATGTGTAGGCGGTGTGTGCAATTAATTTATATTCCTACATAGATTTAATAAATGTTTTCTTCTTGGAATTTAGGTTTCCAGCAGGTGTCATTCTTGTCTGGGCTTTATGATTTACTTGTTTTTTCAAAAGCCTTGGCATGTTTCTTTTTGAGACTTCAAACAACTTATTTTTCCAGTTTAGGCAACACTGGAGATAATTTTTCAAAAGAATAAGTAAAAACATTAAGAAAATGTACTAGAACGTATTTTTGACACCTGTCCTCAACTTTAAAGCCTGATATATAGAGAAAATGATGGTTTTGTAGTCACTCTATTTAGCTTTAATTTCTGCTGCTTTGTCCCTTTTTAAAAGCTTCTCAAATGACACCATTTTAATTTGAGTTGGCTTTTAATGTAGCTGATTTCAACAGAATGTGACAGCGATGCAAAAGTCCAAAAGCCATCAAGTTCCCATGAATCAGCAGGCAGAGTGAACAGCTGGGGCCATGTGCAGCCCAAGAAACTGCCCGTGACTGTGTCAATTGGAGCGCTGTGTCTGGACTGACCTGCAGCCACCAGCAGCCACCTGCCATTGGCACCTAACTTTTGGCCACCCAGATTATATGGCCTTGATGAGGAATTTTGGCATTATTGATAGAAACCAGTTCTAAAAGACTAGAGGTAAAGTTTTTTTTTTAAAATTACTTCAAACTGGATTTATATTAATTCAACTTAACTTAGCTTCTGGTACATGGATACTCCAGATTGCAATTAGGTGCATTATCAGAATTAGTTCAGCTACAGAATCCACACTGGCAATGTTTTACCCTGTTTTTAGGATACATGTCACTGTGTAAAAGTGTCCCCAGCCTCCCTTAAAATTATGCCAGTGAGTGACTGCAATACTACAAGTAAAAACTTCAATTTTTTTCATGTAATAATAGCCAAGGGACAGATCTGAAATAAACGCTTCTAATACTGCCTATGTAATTCCTGTTTAGTATAAGTGTGATTTCTGAAACATTTTTTTTTTTCATGTAAGGTCTTAGTTTGGTGAATATATATTTAGAAATAGCTTACCGGGTTTTGTTCATCAAGTCTGCTCCACGTGCTTTGTAATAATCTAAATTTTGTTGGAACTGGTGAGTCACTGGTCTTGGATTTCGCTAAAAAATAAAAGAGTACTTAATTATTTTCTGGGTGATTTTAAACAGAAATGAAATACGTTCAGTAAAGAGGATTAGAAACTTACAGAAGAATTTGTTTTCCTGGAATCTTGGTTTTTTGAGGCGTAATGTCATTTACATTAAAGTGAAGACTTAAAATACTTAATATCATACCAAATTATACGAGTAAGTCCATTCCATTGTCACAGAAATCAGTACCCTTCCACATGGTGATAAGGCTGTTTGCTGTAGTGGTAACATTCCTAACTAAATCAATAATTCTTGCACAAGAACAGATACTGGTATGGTTTCTTCCTGTAGGTCAGGTATAGAATTTGACCACCTCCAAGCTAAAGTGCTGTGCTGTTCAAGAAAATGGTTATAGTATGGAGAAACTATAGCAAACATTTTGAACTGAATACATCACTAGCAGTAACTCTGTTAAGCAAAGAATTAATTTGAGTGAGACAACCTGAACAATCCCACTAGATGGCACACAGAGCCTATTTTTTCCTCTCCAAATTTCACCCTACTGAAAACCGAGGCCATGAATAAAGAACTGTTATATACACTATAATAAAGTGTATATAATTAATATTGAAACCAGAACCCACTTGTTATTGTCCACTTCTGACACAATGAAACTCTTTCATGGAATATGCTGCCTTCAGTAGTCCTGAAATCATCCTTTTGGGATCTAATAATCCATTGAACATTAAGCATAGACTGCTGTATATGCATAAAGTATCATGATCGATTGCATGCATCCTGAAGGACACTATTTGGAGGAACAAGTAAATATTTTGAAGTAAAAAACTTTGCATGCAGATAGAAATGAAATAACAGAGAGGTAGAGAGAGGTCCTTTAGAAAAATATGTATATAAATGAGAAATGGCTTAAGTAATTTCTAGTGCAAGAGAAAATGGTAAAGTGTTAAAAATTTCTGCATAGTGATCAGATATATTGTATAAAAGAGATCTAAATACTTTCTAAGTACTTGCTACAAAGGTTTAATCATTTATTGGCTGTTACCTTATATTCTGATCTGCCTTCTTAAGTCCTGCTAGTGGTAAATATAGTTTTAGTGAACTATGCATTGACTTTTCCAAAACCATTGTTCACAGGTGAGAGTACATATATTTTTGACAGTGTCAGTCTTCAGGTGTTTCAGTTTCATGTGGTATATTGGCTCTTCAGATTTCATTACAGACTGGAGTATCTACAGTCTTATCCTCTCATTTTCCACATACCTACAGATAGCCCTCCTTCCTTGAAAATCTTGTTTCTGGAGGAGGATACAGGACTTGAATTTTAAAGACCAAAACATTGCAAGAACATAAAAGGAGGCAAGAAAATTTATAGGATTAGTAGATACCAAAGGCCAGGATGATTTCTGGAAGCATATTTAAGGGTGGGAATTTCCAGATTATTTACTGCAGTTAGACTTAATCTTGTATGAAATGTCTCATTTTCTTTCTTTGGAAACACAATAAACATTTTAAACATATATGTTTGTAATGTTCATTAAAAAATGAAGCAACTAAAAGCTCTTAGACAAGCATTAAAAAATTCTCATCTATCCTAGCACCCACACTGTAATGGCTGTTCTACATTTTTCATCTCTTGTTATAAAAACAATGTTTGAATAACTCTACCAATTCATAGAGCTTGAAAGTCAGTCCTCATCAACTGACAGCAATAACAATGAATCAGCTTTAGTTACTATTGCTCTAGTTTCGTAATTCAATACATTTCTATGATAATCAAATCCAAACTGACGTGATGAGGATAACTGATGGTTCTGTGACTTCTGTCTGAGTAATCAAACAGTGTAACTTTTCTCCTATGAATTAAGTAACTTCTTTCTTTACATGTTTTGAAGGGTAATGTTGAAGAGTAAGAGATGACTAAAATACTGGGCACTTCTAAGCCATAAGACATCTTTTTGTAATGTACAAGTTACCAGGTGCTAGCCAGATTTGCAATTTGCTTCCAATAACTTGGTATACATTGATAGTTAGCAAAAACATTGAAATTTCTTTTTTTCTACTCAATAAATAATAAAAAGATTATTACATATTGCTTCTGAATTAAATAAAAACCCAAAACGAAAACAAGAGGTAAAGATCATGTGGAACAGTATCTTGAAATAATAAAATAGATTTTTACACATTGCTTCTGAATTAAAAAGATTACTACACATTGCTTCTGAATTAAATAAAAATTAAAAACCAATACAAGAGGAAAAAATCATGTGGAACAGTATCTTGAAATATATTTATGCATAAATGGCAAGCAATTGAAGACACGAAAATCTGATCTACTATCTAAGCACTTAAAGCCATTAATAGGAATAACATCTAACTCGAACATATGAATGAGGCTCAAGCATTACTTTCACAGGAGCCTATTTAAATTCCTGTGAGGTTTAAAGGTATCAAAGGAAGAAGCAGTTTAAAGTACTATTACATGCAGTGAAAAAAAACTCTCAGAAAAAACATTAGAAATGCAATACAGTAAATGCCAAGGGTTACTACTGCGACTTCTTTTGTAGCATCACTGATAGCCTTTCAAAAAATGTCAATATTTAAAAGAAAACAACCTGATATATATGTTAGCAGACAACTATCTGTGAAGTATCACCACAAAAAATTTAAATACTTCTGAAAACTGAAATTCAGACAGTAAAAAATACGTTATTTTGAAGATTATGATCTTTATGTCACTGTAGTTGTCCTTTAAGTTCTGTATTCTTTTCAACCATTTCAGTAAGTTTAATGTAAAATGCAGAACAGAAAACCTACACCATAACAATGCTTGTTCCTTAAGAATGTTGAAGTAATTCTCTCTCTAAGCATTCAGTTTGAGCTGTCCACTAAATTGCAACCTATGTATCAGAACTAAGGACTAAATTTATTTACAAAAAACATAACTCTGTTGCTTAAAATATTCACAGCAACCAGTTTTTTCCTACACAGTGCAATTTAGAAAGATCCAATTTGTATTTTTTATTACTTAAATATGTAAAGTTATTCAATTTCTTCTTCAATTTATGTACATTATTTTGTTACTAACTCGGATAAAATTATTTTATTTTTAAAAGGGTAATGTTAAAATGACAGTGAAATTAATTCTTCAAATGTATAGTTTGTTGAATGCCTCCAAGAAATTGTATGAGGGCTGAGGGCACTGTACAGATTAACACATATATGGTTTTCCCCTAGTAAGGAAAGACAGAGAAGAAATACAATACTAGAACAACCCCCCCACCCCCTTTTCCTACACCCATTTTGTAGGAGTAGTCCGCTGGATTTATAATTCTTTTAATCTTAATGTCTATTTAGTATGAACATAATTTCAACTGTTAGAAAATGCTCAATTTATGCTTTTAAAAGGATGGTATATGAAATTCACATATAAAAACACATAGAAATTGATGTGATTTTGGAGTTTGTCTCTTCAAAATGTATTAGCCACAGGGGAAAAAAAGCCTGAAAATGTTTCAGGTATCTCTGATGCAGTCCTGCTTCTGAGCATTTCCTTGCCTAAAAGATCCCCCTGTCCCAGCTCATTTGCCTGCTGAAGTGCCCTCCCTGTCCTCCTGTCTATTCTCAGCCATCCCCAGACTAACCCACTCCAATTTGCACGGCTGCCAGGAGGTTCTTGGGGACTTTCTATTTGCCTTTATCCTCTTCCAGGGCCACAGGGGTGAGCTGTTATACCCACAGCTGCACTTTTCCAAGGCCAGGAACTGACACTGTGGTCAGAATCACACTGAATGCAGCCAATCCCCTAAACCTGCACACACTGCTGAAAAGCAACTCCCAGCTAAGGATCCTGCTCCACATGCTCAAATTCCCAAGTAAACCCCTTTTCCTCCCTAGCCTCTGGAGATATATCACATCACGTTACCCACGGAATAGACAGGATATAGCAAAGCATGTTCGTGTGTGACAAAAGTCACAGGCTGTTCTGCAGTGCACCTGGTGTCTGACCCCTGAAAACACAGCATGTTTAAAAGTTTACATGCAGGTGCAAGTGGAGGAATCTCGATAACACTCTTCTTTGTTGAGGTATTTTCTTTTCTCCCTTTTAAGTTTTATTAACAGGGGTATGAAAAAAAAATCAAACACAATTTTGCACAAAATCTGAAGGTTCAGAATAAGAGACAAGAATGAAAAAAGATTTTCAATATATCTTACGAAAAATGAGACGTATTTTAGCAAGCATGCTATTGCCTCAATGCCAAGGGAAAAACACTTGTCATCAGAGAAATGAATTGCTCAGCTGTTTATAAGCAAAAAGCTCTGGGGGAATTTCTCAAGGCCCAAACCACAAAGCATTGCAGGGTTATACAAACATATGTTGCAGGTGTTTTAGGGTAGACAGGTGGGAAAACCTCAGCTACTAAAAAAATACTCCACTTAATAGATTATATCTGAAACTAGATAACCGCAATGCAACAGAGAAAAAACAAACAAAATAGCAGCAGTGAATTGTACATCCAAGTACAATAGGCTGACCGAAATAATCATCTCACTAGTGTCAAATGGAATGTTTTAAAACTAATTTTTTCCAATATATTATCCAAATGCTGCAGAACATTTATTGTTTTTTCCCCTAAAGTACTAACATTTTAAGCCTAAATCAAAATCCAGACTGAACCAAACATATCTAATACCAAGAGAAGGATCATGATGGAATGTTGTTCTACTTATTTAAACAATTATTTCTAGGGAGCCAATTTTCTAATTTTTCCCTTTGTCAGATGACATGGCAATACTGGATTTCTTCATAATTCTTGTATTGCCTAAGAAATTTTTGTAATAAAATTATTTTTTTTTCTCTTTAATTTTGTTTCTAAAGTTGGAGGATCATGTGACCCTAAATTCATACAGGACTGAGAGGTCAGGAAAGGTTGACCTTTTCCTGCTAGGTCATCTATGCTACTTTTTTCATTAAAGATGACATAAACATGACAAAAATTTTGACTGGGAAC